GTGGGTTTTCTTCATCCCAATTATGATTATTATGAAAATTGAATATACCATCCCTGGTAAAACTAGCTTACTAGAGTTTGCGCTGTTTATAAAATTCATTATATCTCATAAACAAAGACAGATAGGACATATATTTATATGACATTTTTTCATTATTTTTAGGCGTACAATCAGTTCCCGAAGTGGGTTCCACAAGTTACGAAACATCCTGTATATTACAAACATATTCTTAATGAAATGCTTCTCATACAATATATATAATATAACTATATATATAACTATATAATAACTTTAATATATATATATATATATATATATATATATAATACTATATTATAATATTATAATATTAATATATATATATAATAACTGTTATAAATATAATATAATATATATATATAATACTATATATATATATAATAACTGTTATAAATATAATATAATAAAGTGTTATAAATATAATATAACAATATATATATAATAACTTTAATTAATTAACTCTAAATACTCAAAGGATTAACTTGCCCGTGTAACTTGGACTTCGCTATGGTAAAATTTCAGGGGGAACGTGCAACAGAATTTGATATTCCCAATCTGTCTCGGCGAACTAACGTCACACTGGCCAAGATAGATTAAGTTTGTCAACTCGTTACGAAACTCGGACCCATCCTACGTTCTACCAGGGGATCGAAAAGTATTTTTTCGCGTGGGTGTCGAGACTCTTTCAAAGTCCCCGGCGAGCTATCGATTCCCTTTTAAAATGCAAGAGCGCTCTGTATCGGTCGATAATAACGCGAGTGCAAGAGAGCGCTTTCGAATTACATCGGGGATTCGCGAAGCGTGGAAGATGAAAGGTAAACAATCTTATTGCCTGAAATTTTAATAGAGGAATTTCCATTACGGCCGACTCACCTAAAGTGATCCCAGGAAAGGCACTGTCAAGCATGGGGACGGTAGTTCGTTCTGCAAGCAAAAATAAAGCACATTAATAATTAATCATCGTTCCTCGCCGTTAGGATAACAACGAATTCTCGCCAACGCGTGAATCCTTCGAAAACTCTTTTTATCCTCGCTCTCGCGACGAGTGTTTCCGTTCGCGACTGTGCAAATTTTAAAAATGTCTTCTCTTGCAAATTTTAAAAACTGGATGAAACTGACATTTGTATAATTCGAGTTGCGCGTTTCGTCACGTGAAGCGCAAAAATTGTTTGTTTAGTTCTACTACTGTAGTCAAAACTTTGAAATCAAGCTTCATGCTTGTATTCTTTGTGAATTTTTATTGTTGATTTAAAAATTATCAATGGCCATTCACTTGCTTCAATTTCTGTTAAATTTTTCCAAGGCGATTCACTTCGAACCTTTCAGCGAACGTTTGTTTATCTCATCTTATGTATTATTTCATTTTTATAATATTAATATTCTAAACATTAATATTTCAATGATTCCTCTAATTAATATTCTAAAAAAGTTTCCTTCCATATCTTTTCGAGAAATTTTTCGAATACGACGTTGAAACGTTGCTTTATCACTCTGGAGTACGGGAATCATGCGTACATGTGTGTACACACCTGTATGTAGATTATAAGTTTCCTCAGTGAACATGGTACATAATACATTACGGTTCTATCGAACCGTGGCATAGCGCTACTTGACTCGAAAGTCATCGAAATACTTCAATCGATTGTGTACCCAAGAGATTTGGAAAGCCAATTTTCTCAAAAAGGAAACTTTGCTACGGAGGAACGTCATTTTGCTACTTTACGATTTCAGTTCTCGGCTGCAACGTCCAACATGAAGTATAAATTATTACATTTCGCTAATATTTTTTCATTTTCTTTATATCAGAATGTAATTACGTTGAAAATTTTATTGCTATTTTTTAAGACCCAGTCCATCTGCTCTTACTTGATCCTCTCCTTAAAGGGATAAAATGGAATTTTATTTATTTCCTTGAAGGAAATCATGTGCGAATATTTGCCTGTTTAAGTATATTTAAGAACACTTTTTGTTTTGCAATTAATCTTTGAACTAGTTCCTGTAGAGCCTTGTCGAGATTTTATTCTAAAGTATATTATCTAGTTTAATTCTAAAACAACTAAATCGATGATCCAGTTTTCCAATGAAATGTAAAAATATAACATACTCGCCTATGAAAGGTTAATATTTCGAGGAGTGAATCTTCAAGTATTCACCATTCACCAAATTTTAACCTTCTTCCATTTTTTTCCTTTACACAGTTTCATTTGTACGAAAAGTGCTTTATGCCTTCAATGAAAATTCATTTTTGACAACGAGAGATTGTTAAGTATTTGTATGATCAAGAATATGTGAAATAAATATAATAACGCATGCTGCGTTATAACGTAATAATAATATATAATGTGCGTTATAATAGTGTTATGAGTAGCGTCGAATTTATGATAATTTTTCTTTATAATCTGGTATAAAAATGAAAACGCGTATCACAATGAATAATTACAAAATTTTGATCATTCGTCGAGTTTGTCATTAAACAGTCCGTGTTCGTCGAGTCATGCAGAAAATCGTAATCAATAACGACCAGTTTCTACAAAGTAATGTAACAATGTTTTCGATCTATTAATACAATCAAATAATCAGAAGTGTAATCATTTTGTGATTAATGATTCATAACGTTCAATTACAGTGATTATTTCCGTCGTTCAGTGATCAATGATTATTGATCGTTTGACAATCATAACCAACCTCCATTAATCAAAATTACAGTTCGCCCAACTCTGCACTTACTTATGCACAAATTTTTGTAGAAACATCCGTTCTAGTTTAACAATAAATTTTCCAAAATTCAAAATCCCCCGTAAAGCGCTCTCCTAGTATATTAAGGGGGTATTCTAGTGTTTTTTTTTTTTTTTTTTTACTTTATTAGGGAATTTTTTGTAAAGAAACTATTACACCTCTTGCAGTCAAATTGACAGTATTTCAACGACGTTTTAAAATTTTTTTGGGACAAAAAAGAGTTAAAATTAGTGGCATTGCATACTCTCATAGAACGCTTTTAAAAAAGAGTCGTCTCACGGTGTCCACGATTCCGGCCACGATTCTGCGTGAATGTTCCTCAATTAGTATGAGTTTGGCTATACAGCAGGTATCAAAACAAAAGAAAAAAGTAATTAAAAAAAGTGGCGATACTTTGAAGTTCGACCATCGATTTTTGCATGTTTTTGATAAAACTTCGGAAGCCTAGAGAAATATAAAAAATAAAATTTTTTGGTTGATTCTGGTAGGGGCTATAGTCATACTAATGTACTAAATGCGTACTTAAAATTTTGAGCCAATTAGTCAAGTAGATTTTGAGATATCATGGACACCGTAAAAAACATGGTTTCCAGATAAATGCCTCTAAAGTTTAGTATTGCGGTAACAATGATACAGGTCGTCGTGTCCTTCGAACAACCATAACTTCGTTAACTTTAGGAGTTCACACGTAAGATTATTTATTTCTAAAACTGTGTCCTTTAAGAATATGCAAAGAAAAAAAAAAAAAAGAAATCGATTTTGTTCAAAAGTTCACGCTAGAATACCACCCATAAGTAATACTTCGAGGCTGGCAACACACCGAACAGCAATTATTCCCGGCTAAACGCGAATTTCCAAGCATGTGTATCGATTACGCACGCCCTTGCGATACACATCTAATAGCCGCGTGCTTCAAATTTTCAAAAGCGCGTACTCGCTAAAGCCACGAGACCGCGTAATACGGAATACACAATTTTCTCTGTGCAAGGAAACACAGTTCACGTACGGTACGTACGTATACACCGCCGCGAAATAATAACGCGGCCACGAACGTACGCGCGAGGAACGAAGAAAATGGAGAACCGGCGGCGGAAAGAGGGAAATGGAAACAGATTGAAAAAGAAAAAAAGAGAGAGAGAAAAAAAGAAAGAAAGAAACAGCACGGGAAATAAATTCTTTCGGTAAAGCGTTTTCGGCGTAACGCGGCATTAACTATTTCATGTTTCACGGGGGGAAGGAGATGAGGGGGAGGGAGAGGGGGATTTTTTATAATTCATTCGGCAAGCAGAAAGCGCGACATCACAACAGCTGCGATATTTCGAGCATTAAAACTTCACGCTGCGTGCATCGATTCGCGTTTCCGCGAAATCGCATTGCGATTCGCTTTCAAGCTTGAAAGCACCAGCCGCGATTATTATATCGCACCGACCGAGTTTCTCCTTCTATTTTCTCTCTCACTTTTTTTTCCCTCCCCCCCCAGGGATTTACGATTACGCCAGACGTAATTAATATACTGCGATACGTTCGCGGGGATTGATGGTCCATGCGAACGTGATAAAGAAGCGGGGCCTGGACAGAGCATTTGTTCCCTCTATTTCCTAAATAATATTTTATATTTTGTATTGTGTTTTAGTTTTTGTATTGTGTGTTTTGTATTTTGCATTATGTATGCACTTCATATACATTGTATGATATATG